CAGGGTAATCACTCATTCAGAGGCAGCCAGGACAAAACAGACCTCCTTAAGGCGAAGGGGCAGGTTTTTATATAGCGAAGGAGCTTTGATTACGACTCCATCTTAAAACCCGCATCCGATGAGTAAAGACGTGCGCTGGTTTCTCCCCCCACATTTACTGGGCAAGTCGCCCTCCCGGGTTCCTGTAAATAAGTGATGTCACAGCGCCTAATGATGCCCAGACTACACTCAGCAAGGCCCTGAAAAACAGCAGCACTACTGTTAGCACACACAGCTCATAATAACCTCCATGTCAACAACCAGTTTCACTTTAACAGCAAGTTTGTTTTTCAAATGTATTTTTATTTCACTATTTTCAGATATCGATCATCATAGCTAAGAAAGACGTGTTGCTTGTGCATCCATAGAAACAGCATTTCACCTAAAGATGATCACATTTATGTACTAAAATTCAGAGGACAGTTGACTGAGGTTGCTTCTAAAAATATGTTTTAACTTATTTTCAATCAGAGCATTTCAGAAAAATACTTTTGAACAGCACAATTTCCCAGATCTCAACGGAACACCAGTATGTGAATTATATTGATGAAAAGTTGAAGGGAGTGATGAAAACATGTCTTGTATGTGACTAGCTGTGTGTTATGTAGACTGGCACTGACAGTTGTTTCCAGTTGCAACATTATAAAGGGCCCATCATAAAGCCTGGCTGGAGGAAGCAGGATAAGCGCTTGAGCCAAGGCAGTAAAAAGCTCTCTGGGAACTTGAAAGCCACACAAATGAAGTCTGCGTCTGCCATCTGGAAACAATAAACAAACAAAACCCAGCAGCCAAACAAATACTACCAATGCCATAGAGGGGGAAAGAGGCTAATGTAGCAGAAATTGTCAATGAGTGAAAGGAAAGAAGAGGAGCATCAATGTCTGAGAAACGTGTTGGGCATGGCTCATTAGCAGACGCTGATGGGAAGACAGACAGCCAGTCGACCCCGTGTACCAGGCCCCTTTGATGCTGAGGATGGCCCTGCTCTTTGAATGTGTGTGGTAGCACCTAAACCTGGTTCTAATGAAGAGGAACGCTCACTGGAGGCAGCCTGTCTGCAAACTAGTGCCAGTGATGAGACTCAAGAACTTTCAAAATGTTCAATGTGCCAAAGCTTTCTAAATATTCATTTATGTTTCACAACAAATTCTGAATTACTGTCTACTTGACAGTGATGAATGATAGTTGATGAAGCAGAACTAAGATGTGAGCAAGAGCATGTGTATCAAATACATCTCCACTACAAAAATAAAATCACCAAACATTTTCTTACTACTACTAATGATATTGTGTTAATGTTGAGTATATGAATTGAAAATGGACAGACAATAAACTATAAAAGCAATGTCAACTTTTTATAAACCATGCATATTAATGCATAACACTATGATTGTAAACACTGTAGTAAATTTGACCTCTTAACAGCCACTGTAAACCCATCTCCTTATAGCAACAATACAGACACCTAGAGGTTCCTTGTGGAATTGCAGCTCTTTTCTATAAGTGCGGTACAAGTAACAGCTCACCTTTTAGTATAGAACATACAGTGTGCCTCATCAAACAAGCCAACACCGAATATCTCCAACACACACGTTGTGCTGACGTGCTCTCCTTAACAAAGCACTATAAAAGTGGGTCTCCTAATCATTGTGGCGCAGTGTATCAGACAGGAAATGCTGAGTAAATTACACCTCATCAACCCAGAGCAAGCAAACCATCACCATGGCAATGGGCCAACCTCTATGCCGTGAGAAGAATCAAACCTGGCAAAAAGAAAGGGTAAAGTGTGAAGTGGAATTTTGTATAAAATACATAGTCAACAGACTTGAGCTCGAACAAAACAGAATATATTTTAAGCTTAAAATCTATTGAAAGTCTAAAAGCACTAATCTTTGTGTTTCTCTTAACAAATTATTGACAATAGCATTTCGACAGCACTGCAACAGCTGTTTTTATGTGAGTAAATAACATGGAAATATGGTGAATTTCTATAAAGCCTCTCTCTGAATCTGACCATCCTGCTTAAACTCACCAAATAAAGCACCGTTAGCAGAGTTTTGGAGAACAGAATTCTTTTGTTGAATTGTTCACACATTCCAGCCAGCCATGTTTATACAGATGCAATTCCATGTGCGCTGTAGGCTCCTCAGAACTCATCTCCTAAGGCAGAGAAGTGCAGCTGATCAAAGGCTTGGGCTCCGGTGCACAGACACTTGTTTTGGTTATTTTCTTTTGGATTCCTTTGGGGATACAGGGTGACACGTCCATCTGCTGACCGTATGCAGCCACCTTGGTCGTTTATAGGACAAGTGTATAGGCTTCTCTTGTCTTTCTTCCCATCCCACTCTGCTCCTTGCACCTCGTTTACTCAGCTGGCTCCAGACCGGACCCCCAGATTTGTGTTTTCTCATTGCAACATGTGCTAGCTTAATGTGCTGTAGCAAATTTCAAAAGAAAAATGAAATGGTTCGGTAAAAGGAGGTTTATTGTTGGAAGGAATCTAAACCATAAAAATTTAAAGTGGATATAATGTTATACATGAAAAAAAGTCTCTAACAGAGCAAATAAAATGAAAGTTGAGTATTGGGAATGCCAGGCTACCCCACAACATGGATTTGGTTACATAGTGGCCATGGTTGTTTTCTTGCCTGATTGGATTATGGCCACACACCTCTAACCACCAATCAATGGGGAAATGAGGTGTCAGCACAGTGCTGTTTATTCAACACTCATTTATTTTCTTACTTGAAGCTTGAGATCAGCCACTGAAGATACCAGATGAGGATAAGGGGCAGGCAAAAGCCACTACTAAGTGTGGGAATTTGTCTATAAAGTGGATTTTCCTGCACGATGCATAAAAACTACAACAAACTACTATAAGAAGTGTGAAAGTATAGCATAATCTGTCTTTTTTCTATTTACATAAACATGATCAAATTAAAAAATAATCATCATTATTAATCTAATTAGTGAAGAATATTATGCAAGCATACTCCTTGAAGCAACTGAGGTGTGCAACCAAATTTTACAGAATATCTTTTACTGTGTATGTTTGCGAGAAAAGACTTAAAACATCGTGAGGACTGGACTCACTAATAAAGAACTACAACAAAATTGAATTAGAGTAATGCCTGAAGCATGTATCAGTGTAATTGACTGAGGATTTCATTTAGATTTATGGCATCTATAAATTAACTAAAGTGTTACAAATGTATATTACAACGCAACCTTGTCTTGTTTCTGATCTGTTTTACAACTGAAAACGCTGGGCTTGTAACTTGAGGGCGTGCATCCACACGGCCCCAGCTGAAAAGAACTGGTAATGGGAAGACACCAGGAAGTCTGTAATGCTTCTAGTCAGCATGAAGTGCCATCAAAATAAAATTCTGCACAGTAGCTGCTGCTTTAAAACAACTGGAGCAATTGAAAATTCTCCTCCCAATTTATGCCAAATGTCACTTTATTAACATTCTTGCATGACTGCCAAGTGTCTGCGCTGCGTTATGCCCTTTCTCTTAATTGAAAACGTTATAGGGGTGCATTACACTTGGGGTTTTTATAAGCTGTGCTATAAAGCCCTAGCAGGCCCTGAGAGGGGAAACTGCCCATTAACTTATAAGGTCCAGGCCTTGGCTCGCTTAATTGACAACCTCTAGGCTACTTTCATCACTTGTCGACTTCATAGCGCCACTCAATGCTTCCTCCAGGATGCTGTTGAATCTTTGACATGAGGGTGTTTGTGACAAAGAGCAGCCCGCTGCCATGGCCAACGCGCAGGCTCGGGGCTGTCTATAAAACATGCACACACATTCCACTACAGCCAGGGAAGCAGCTACATTTAACCATAGAAAACACTGCAAATCAACATAAAGCCCATCACCATGAAGTAACATGGAGACAGTGTAATAAATCATGGTGCTTGTAGTCCATTACACTACTGGACACAAGCGCGTGGCGTGACAGTCACTTCACACTCTTCTCTCGCAGGATCATCAGCTTTGTGCCTCTGGAAATGCATGTGTCTTGAATTAGAGCCACATGTCAGAGTGTTGTTGACTAGTATAGACACATAGGCCTAATACAATATTGAACACACTTATTTTTTTACAACTGACACTCAAACTGTCAAAAGTTATTATGATGTTCTTGTCACATTTTAGTACAACAATGGGTGTTAACTCCACAATTAGAACAATGAAAACTTTACATTGTGATCGCATGACTGATAGTGCAGGCTATCTATTACTTGCCAAACCTATGTCAGATCTAAAAAAATATATGCAGCAAAAGAAAAACTCTGAATTCTGTAAACTGCTATGGATCTTACCAGGATGACTGAGGAATTACGCAGACATCTAAAAATGATTTATTATTATTATTATTGCTTCAATTAACACCTAATGTAGTCATTTTGAGAATAAAGATTAACTACTGTACAACAGACAACAGGCATGCATACTGTCCCGCCAAAAAAAATGACCAGGCTGTTCTTAGAAAATGTAGTCTCAAAATTATAGTAGCAAGCAATAGTCAGCATGTTGTAAAAGATCCATTGTGTTATACTCTACAAATAAGCCAACACAAAAAGCGAAATGGCTAAAATGAACTAAAAAGGACACAGACATCAATTTACAAAATGTTTTGAACAGTAAACAGAAAAACAGAAAAATGAAGAACAGGAGCACCAACCAAACATTTACGCGGCGCAATAAAGACAGTTCATGCTCTGGGTGATTTCTGATTTACTGTGCAACGCAATAACAGCTCCTCCAAACTCTTTATTTACATTTCCTTGGAAGAGTCGGCATAACCTTTAGCCCACAGACCTGCACGTGCCAGTTAGCAAAAGCACTGGCACGCAGACACATGCTAGTACGGTAGAGGGGATCTCTTTTTCAGCGCACCAGAAACGCTTTTTGTGCAGAGAAAAGACATTATATATCAAAACTGTTGAGACTCACTGTGGAAGAAGTCGTTTGGTAGTCCTGATTATGTGCGCAGCCATATTTCCTTGAACACAAAGAGCGGTGATTGGCTGCAGCAGCGTTCTCCCGGAAAGAGTTGACGTTCACTATTGGCTGTAGAAGCAAAAGGGGCGGGGTCTGGATGAAAGGAGCACATGTGGGGATTGAAAACAAAACAATTAGTAAAAGTATGGCAAGCGTGCTAAGATATGTTTTTTTTTTTTTTTTTTTTTCTTGAAATGTGAATGTACTTGCAAAGGTTGAACTTAATTTGTGCTTAATGATCACAGATGGTGTCCTCATTCAGAGACTTGGCTTTTTCAAAGTGGAGGAACAGAGACAGGTTGAACCCCACTACATAAGAAGACAGGGAAGTATAAAAGAGAGAGTGCGTGCCACCCTAGGAGTTCCCTCTCACAGCAGTGGCGAATTACTACCACTACCATCAGCCAGGTCCTAGTGCAGCAATGACACACAATATTTGCCATGATTAAGTCAGCAGGGGACCTATTCTAAATGTCATCTTTCACTGGACAGGCATGGGGATGCACAATACCAATAAGACACCTATATTTAAATTGAATCTCAACTTGAATCATTAATATATGATATGTAGACCTGAATTCATAAGATCACAATATGAACAAAAATATAGGCTATTATTATTAACTTACATAAATGATTCTTGTGGGATAGGGAAAAAAATGTCTATTCTATTTGAAAATTCCATTTCTGTGTTACTTGGAAACTATTCAGTTCCCTCCCCCTTTGGTTCATCGAACACAATTGTTGTCTACTAATCCAGTTTTGATAGCATTTGGCACACTTTCTTTGGATCACAGCAAGATGCTCAACTTCCATTCTGGTCTCCCCTAGGAACCTCCGAGACCAAGAAAGGAGCCGACACCAGGTCGCGCCAGAGCAGGAGGATTGTCTGTCTTCTCATAGAGCTAAGAAAATAATTTTTCATTCAAGTCACCCTTTGACCACAGACATGCACATGCACATGTACACCACTCCATTTTAGACAGTTAATGAAATATACCAGAATATGTTATTCTTGTCAAGTCTATTTGCTATCATCAAATAATCCTCTGTAAGTCACTTGCATATAAAAAGATATGTCAAAGACAATAGCATTTTTTCTTTGTCCCCTCTTTGTACGCCCTGATACAAATGGACAATGCATCAGTGGGCCCTGATGCCTCAGAAGTCTGGGTTCATTAAAATCTTGAACCAGTGCCAAAGCTGTAGTCATAGATAAAAGCAATATGAAAGGAAATTTATGGATGGCGAGTCACCATCGCTCCCTGGCATTTATAATAAACAAATGCTTTCTGTTTCCAATTTAAATTTCTCATTATACTGTGACTTTTGGAAAATGTGTTTTGATTTACCAACATTTTATCTGAAAAACTGTATAATTGATTAGATTTACATGGCTCTGATTTTAATGCTGATTGCCTGCCTTCCCGCTACAGTCCCCAGTTCAGCTTCACACTCACCAAAAACCAATGATCTGAGCAGCTCCTGAGGCACATTAGCATCGTATGAAGCAAACCTACATATCAAACAGTTTTTTTTTCTGACAAAATAATTGGCTTTAACCAGCGTTGAATCCAATACAAACCATTTGAAGGAAACTTCTTTGAGGGTGCCAAAAAAGGTGAGATAGACTTCACAGCCCGAGAGAGATGGACATCAATGCAGTGTGCCAGCAATGGCTATATTAACCCATGGCTAAATCCCATCACACAAATGTCAGTGTATCCGTTATGAAACCATGACATTTAGATCCAAGGTCTCCATTGTGGTTTTAGAGGAAGCTCGTGTTTGTCTATTCTTTGCATCCATCAAACCAGGACTTTGGCTCACAAGCAACTGTACTCTCAACAAAAAGGTTAAGGATCATATGCTTAAGTAACTTTATTGCATAATACAGTATATGATGTAAAGTATGCTTTGACTTTTACTATTTGAATTTTACAATTGCAGCACACTATAAGAAAAAATTTCTGTAATTAATTATATGTGTCATTGATTGTTTTGGCATGCAATGTAGAAACGCTGTCAGTTTTATATACAGCAAAAATATATATTGGCTATTAGGAAGTTTAAATCCTTATTTAATTAGACTGGTAAGGAATTGGTAAGGAATTTATAATGTTATAAATTACACTTGAACATGACATGCTATGTTCCAAATAGGCATTGCTATAACACCTTAATCCGACATCTCCCCAGCACTTGTCTGTCTAATGTTATAAGATACAGTGCTCAAATTCAACAATAGGACAATACGTCACAAGGCTGTCATGTTAAGACAGCAACACCTTGGCCCACACCGTAAAAAATCACAAGATGTTTAATTATTGCCTCCTTACATTAGGTTGGACCGATTCCCCCAGGCACTTGTTCTAAGGTCAGCGTGAGCAGCGGTGTTGGAGGGGGTTTGTGCCCACTCCGCCAGCCTACAGTCCATATTACAAATGATATCATGACAATTTTTCATGGGCATCAAACCAGTGATGTTTTACCGACTCATTTGCTATGATACCTTGTTACAGATCCAGCTGTGAACCAGGGACGTGTCATGGGGCTGGAGGCTGACCACCCGCCGGGCCTGGCCAATGACCTGGAAGGCAATAGGGGATGCCAGTGCCTAGAGCATGTGCTGCTCTGACAGAGCAGCAGGGCACCGTCAAAAACCCTCTCGTACAAACTTTGCAGATCACGCCGCTTTTAACAGATGAGTAAGCACTGGTGCCCACTTTTATCTAATTCCTCATACAAGCTTTATGGAGTTTTTTGTTGGAAGGGCTGGAACTCTGTTCATGAATCGCAAAGCAGTGCCCAAAAAGTACCTACTGTATTCTCAGAGTGGGATGGAAGGAGGTAGATAGCTTCTGACAGGTTCACTGCACAGGTTAAGCAACAATTCAGTGATGTGCCTGTAAAAGAATGACTGGAAAAGGCCAAATAGCATCACAGAAAGCAAACAAGATTTTTTATATCTTCTTTACATTATGCTTTCGAGAGATGACTGACTGGACCGATCTGGGGATGTAAAGAAATAGCAGAAGTAATGGCTGTTTTAGTGACATTGCAAAACTGACACACGTTTGACCAAACATTTGAATCTTTATAAATTATTACATTCAAAAGGCTAATATTGCGATGGTTTCTGATCTGTTATAATGTTGTTTCCTCATCAAAAACTTACCCAGAGTTGTGTTTTGTTACATTTCATTCACGCATATTTAACACAGAAATCCTGCTTATTTAACATGAGTTCTTCTCTCAAAACGAAAACACTGTTCCACCTTATGATGTCATGTGGTAATACAGGAAGTTCTCCACTGTGTTTTTAAACTCCACATACTTTCAGTACAATCATTTGAATAATTTCAGGCCTGGGATTGCTCATCTCTGCTGAACAAAATGTAAAAAGTAGCTGTTAACTTGAAAACTACCACTACATAACATCACAAGGTAGAACAGAGCATTATGAGCATTGGAGATGTAGACAGACTAATAATAAAGAGTTACTCAAACCTATGTGAATGAAACAAAACACAAATCCGGGTATGTTGACGAAGTAACAACATTCTAACATGGTTTAAAGCTCACAAGGGTCAATTTTGCTTAATATAGGACCTTAAATAGAACAGATTGGAGGAACATTTAAACAGAATTTAGCTGAGGCCATGATTTAGTGTCTCCTTAGCAGTGGGACCTTACTGACTTCCAGAGGGCATGAGTGAGTGCAGATTCTCTCTCCCGTATTTGTTTATAATTCATTATTACATCCATGTCCGTAGAAAAAAACATGGTAATACAGGGAGGATATTGGCCTAAAATTATAATTTGAAATGCCACTTAAAACCCTGATGTCTATTTATAACTGCTTTCTGTTTTTATTGTAAGCTTCCTGGAGTCATCTTAATAGTCCATGCATACATAACACACTAATAATTATTTCTGACCTTTTTCAGCACCAGGTTAAGAAGGTGAATGCGGTTTCCGAATGAGGGCCCTCACGCAACCACAAACCCAGTGACTTGTGGATTACTAGAATGATGGTTTCTGGCCTGACAGAGCTGCTTGTGTCAGAAAGCATTAGATTTCCAAGCCAAAGCACAGCACATAGGAGCCCAAGTTACTGACCCTGCAATTATGAGAACCAGCAATCGGCGCAAGAAACCAAAATGATTGTACAGTTGAATTCTGAAAAGTAACATAGGATATATTTGGGAGTAGACAAGAATTAGAAAATGGGAGAGATATGAGATATTTCCATAGACTGTAACAGGAAATATTATTTTCCTCTTCAGTTCACCCTGTATCCCATCTCTCAGTTCATTTAACTGAATTAATGAGCTGGTCCATTAGAGCATCCTTGATTTACTCACAAATTCTTTGTCTTGGGGGAGGGGTTACATGGATTTTATTTTGTAAGCTGATCCAGAATAATTATTTTATCAACTTCCTTTATAACAGTTTATGTAAAAACAGTAATAAAACTTTTATTTAGTAGTGCTTATTCCCCATTACAGTAGAATTCTTTTTAGGTTCACTATGTACTGGTAATTGTTCTGGTGATCGAGGGGGTGCCTCTCTTTATGGAAATGTTAATGTGTTGCCTGGAATTTTCTATAGTATGGAATTTAGCATATCTCATTGTGTATTTATATAATTACAGTTGTTTTTAATCCTCAAAAATACCTTGGAAGCACGCATTCTTACTGTGCGAAGAGTGCATGCATCCAGAACTTTCATACATGTGAAGTAATCAGGTTTGAGGAAATCCAAACATGTTCAATAAATGATGAATAATTGAATATTTTTTTAGAAATGAGACCCTTGAACTGTAACTTGTGTAACTGTTTTAAGTTTAATAACTCACCGTGGTACATTTGAAACAAGGAAGTAACATGTAACCCATACAGTCACATAGTGCACCTTTAACGTTAGTGTGTGAAGTTGGTTAATGGTACAGTTTTGGTCTGTCCAGCTTCTAAAACTTGGCCTCTTATTTTATATTACTGCAGTT